TGAGATATTTCACATTCTCTTCTATTTTTTCATTCCTTTTGATTAGTGTTACAGTGCCTTGATTTCTCAAATTGTCCCTAGTTTCCAATTTCTCCATTCTAATTTTTAAGGAAGTATTTTCTTCAGTAATCTTTTCGACTTCCTTTTCCATTTGGCCAATTTTGCTTTTTAGGGCATTCTTCTCCTCATTGGCTTTTTGGACCTCTTTTGCCATTTGGGTTAGGCTATTTTTTAAGGTGTTATTTTCTTCAGTATTTTTTTGGGTCTCCTTTAGTATCACTCTCAGTTTTTCCTCTACTTCTCTTACTTGCTTCTCAAAATCCTTTTTGAGCTCTTCCATGGCCTGGGACCAATTCATATTTTTCTTGGAGGCTTTGGATGTAGGAGCTTTGGCTTTGTTGTCTTCTTCTGGTTGTATGTTTTAATCTTCTTTGTCATCAAAGTAAGATAATATAGTCTGACTCTTTTTGTGCTGCTTGCTCATGATCCCGGCCAATTACTTGAGTTATAAACTCTTTGTTAAGGTAGGAGTCTGTTTCCAGTGTGGAGAATGTACAGTCCCAAGCTTCAGGGGTTTTGTGCAGCTGTGTTCAGAAATACTTCTAGGGACCTGTAAATTTTCAGTTCTTCCAAGGTGCTATGATCAAGGGCGAGGTGTTTACTCCTTTTATGGCCTGTACTCTGGTCTATGAGCACTCTTTTCTGTCTTGGAACTGTGAGGAGGGTTTCCTCTCCATAGCCACTACAAGCTCCACCACACCAGCGATCCTTCTCGCCCTAGGTCCACTACCCAGAATTGTGACTTAGATCCAAGCACGAGCAAAGCAAGAGAATCCTGCACCAGCAGAGAGATTCCTGCAATCCCCCTCTGATCAGTCACTTGATTCCCCCTCTGTCTGTGGGCCAGGAGCTCAGGAGGCAGCCGCTGCCCCAAGGGCATGCTCAGGACTTGTGGCTGAGACCCAGCTCCTTCTCTCACCGCAGTCACAGACTTTTCCCACTGACCTTCTAAGTTGTCTTTGGCGTTCCTGGGTTGAGAAGTCTGGAAACTGCCACAGCTGCCCTCAGTTCAGCCCTCTGAGGCCTGTTCCAGGGTTGCTGCGGCCTGTGGGCTCATGCCAAACTGGGCTCCTTTCCCAGCCCAGTGCGATATACCTTTCTGATCAACCATTCAGGCTGTCTTGGAGTGGATATTTGTTTCACTCTGTCTTTTTTGTGGGTTCTGCTGCTTTAGAATTTTTTTAGAGCCATTTTTTACAGGTATTTGGAGGGGTTTGGGGGAGAGCTTAAGCAAGTCACTGCTTTTACTCTGCCATCTTGGCTCCACCCCTGTAAGTATTATTTTTTGATCACCGAAAGATGTTTTGACTCAATTGGGCAAAACTGCATGTTAGGATCGTGCAAGATTTCTTGTCAGCTAAAACCATGTATGTAACTTTGTTAAAGGTATGCTGAGTTGAAAGAGGCAAGAAAAAGCTTTTACAAAGTGGAGAAGAAGAGGAGGGATGTGATGGGGAGTGGGTGCACCTTACTCTCACTAGAATTGGCTCAAAGAGGGAATAACATACATGCTCAACAAGGTATATGAATCTATCTTACGCTACAGGAAAGAAGGAAGGGAAGGGGATAATGAGGGGACTGATAGAAGGGGGGCAGATTGGGGGAGATGGTAGTTTGAAGCAAAACGCTTGTGAGGAGGGGAAGGGTGAAAGGAGAGAGAATAGAATAAATAGGATGGAGGGAAATACAGTTAGCAATAGTAAGTGTGAAAAAAAATTTTGAAGCAAGTTTCTCTAATAAAGGCCTCATTTCTCAAACACGTAGAGAACTGAGTCATAATTATAAAAATAAGAGCCATTCCCCAATTTATAAATGCTCAAAAGATATGAACAGTTTTCAACTGAAGTAATCAAAGCTATCTATTCCCATAACAAAAAATGCTCTAACTCACTACTGAGTGGAGAAATGCAAATTAAAACAATTCTGAGATACTACCTCATACCTATTAAATTGGCTCATAGGACAGAAAAGGAAAATGACAAATTGTGGAGGGGATGTGGGGGAAATGAGACATTAATGCACTGTTGGTAGAGTTGTGAACTGATTCAACCATTCTATAGAGCAATTTGGAACTATGCCCAAAGGGCTATACGACTATGCATACCCTTTGACCTAGCAATAACACTACTAGGTCTATATCCCAAAAGAAATAAAAAACAAAAAAGAAAAGGATCTTTATTTACAAAAATATTTATAGCAGCTCTTTTCTTGTGGCAAAGAATTGGAAATTGAGAGAATGTCCATCTATTGGGGAATGGCTGAACAAATTGTGGTATGTGATTGTGATGGAACACTGTTGTGCTATAAGAAATGATAAGCAAAATGCTCTCAGAAAAACCTGGAAAGACTTGCATGGGCCGATACAAAGTGAAATGTACTGAGTACAAAGTAACACCAATATTGTAAGATGATTAGCTGTGAATGACTTAGGTATTCTCAGCAATACAATGATCCAAGACACTCAGGACTTATGATGAAAAATGCTATCCATCCCCAGAGAAAGAACTGATGGTGTCTGAATACAGATTGAAGCTTACTTTTTCAACTTTCATTATTTTTCTTTTCTTTTTTTTTTTCAACCGAAGACAAGATTTATTAAAGATCCACCATACTGGCCAGACTCTTAAGGAATCTAAACATTTGTGATGCACATATTGACAAGCGGGCGAGAGTAAGTCTCAGCCTTCATTATTTTTCTTGAAGTTTTTTTTTGTCCACATTTTCTTTTACAACATGACTATTAAGGAAATGTTTTGCATGACTAGACACGTATAACCTATGTCAAATTGCTTGCCTTCTCAATGGGGGTGGAGAGGGTGGAAGGGAGAGAATTTGGAACTCAAAGTTTTAAAAACGAATGTTAAAAATTGTTTTTGCATGTAACTGGGGAAAAACAAAATACTAAATAAGAAATTAAAATGTCAATGATATAAAAAAACCCAAGATACATTAAGTTCTAAAAACTGCAGGGACAACTGGAATGCAGTGTGGAAGACATCAGGCTTAGAACAGCACCTCACAACACAGCCTGGAGAAGAGGGCAACAAGGGGAAACTCAATTGAGGTGTGTGGGTTTTTTTCAAAATAGGCAGATGGAAGGATTTCCTCCTCCATGGTTCTTCTCTAGTCTTTTTTCTAGCCTAGTGTAGTCAGGTGCATGACCTGAAAACTCTGGTCAGCCCAGCCAAGATGGAAAGGCTTTACAGACCCAGTGAGAAAATCCACACTGATAGTAATAAGAGAAACAAACACGAGTAGGTTGAAAAGAAAGTGTATAGTGGTGGGGGAGGTGGCATGGAGAAGAGCAGGAGATGGGGAATATGGCTGTGAAGACAAGGGAACATTGTAAAACCTAACTGAGGGAGTCTATGGCACCAGAGCAAAGACAGTCTGGTATGCACCATCCTCTTCATCAGCATCAACACTTTTACTGAGCACTGTGTATAGGGAACCTCAGAGGTGGCTCTTGGATATTTCTGACTCTGGTGTCAGAGAAATGGTCACATAGAATTAGGCCTTTGGTGCACCTCCTGCCCCCCCAATCAGCCCTATTCCCACCCACTAACCATCTCTCTCAGGACCCATAGCTGTTCTCAACTGAATGTCACTGGCAGTCTCTGCAAATCTTTCACATTAGCCAGCAATAATCAGAGCCATCATTTCTCTAAAACTTAAGGATTTTAAAAGGTTTTCCTCACACCAAGCCCCATTTTCTGAATGAAGAAAGTGAGGCTCAGCTAGTGATACCTGACCTTGGGCATGTCTCTTCAGTTCTTTGAGTCTCAGTTTCCTCATCTATCAAATGAAGATTGGAATAGATGTCCAAAAATAGACATGAGCAGTGTTAGAGTGGCTATGGAGAGACAGAAACACTAATACACTGGAGATGGAGCCATGAATTGGTTCAGTCTTTCTGGAAAACAGTTTGGAATGATGCTAAAATATTCACATCTTTGACCTGGAGGTCCCACTGCTAGGTATGTGTGCCCCAAGGAGGTTAAAGACAGAAGGTCATATTCATACTAGCATTTTTTATGGTAGCCAAGAACTGGAAACAAAGTAGATGCCTAAACAAATTGTGGCACCTGAATGTATGAGTGGGAGAAATAAAGAATTTGAAGAATTCAGAGAAACACAGGGAGGCTTCTAAGAACTGATGCAAAATAAAGTAAGTACAAGCAGGAAAAGAATATGTACAATGGTTATAATGGTGTAAATGGGAAGAGCAAAAACAAAACTTAATATTGAGTAATTATAATGACAGTGAAAATGAACCTTCCTCCCTTTCCTGCAGAGGTGAGGAACGATGGATGAGGAACATTATATACACAGTCAGGGTAGTTGCTAGGTTGGCTGGTTTTGCTGACCCATTTTCTCCCTTTATTTTATGTTCTTTGTCACAAGGAATGGATTGCCAGCTGGGGAGAGACATTTGGGTGTGGAGGTGCTATAAAAACAAATGATAAATATTTATTCTTTAAAAATACTGCCCCTTGAATATGCTTTCTTTGCTCTTGGTGAAGTGCTTGAAATATTTTCCCTCACTCTTAACCTGTTAAATTCCTACCCATCAATTAAAGCTAAACTCAAATGCCCCTTCCTCCAGTAAACATTTCTGATCTCCTGTTGGGAATAACCTTCTTCCTTGGACCTCACTTTGTACCTTCCTAGTACACTTAGATAATACTGTGAATTGTTATTTAAATGGATTATTCTCATCCCCCACTAGACTGTGGGCTCCATGAGGCTAGGGACAGGGTCTTATCCAGGCCTCAGAGAGCACAGGACATAAGCACTACCCAAGGAAAACTCTGACTCTCTATTTCTCTCTGGTGGCCCCTGGGCCACTTTGCTTTGCTCCCACTCCCTCCTCCACCTTCCCCTACCCCCAAAGAGAAGTCACTAGAGCTCTGAGCTCTTGTCTTGTCCATTCCTCTCACCTTTCCTTTTGTAAGCAGTCCCAAGTGTTAGGGGACACAGTGAGAATCTTGACCTCAAGGACGGTTGGGTTTGACTCTGACATCTGTCCTGAATTCTTCCCTGGCACAGAGGCAGTCATCTCCACACTGGAAGAATGCCCATCCACCTCGTCATTAAAGTGGAATGGTTCAAGCTGGGTCACTTCTGGGAGAGAGAGGTCAATGCTTAGCTAAGCTGAGCATTAAACTTAGTTGTGCAGCAGGGGTCACGATGGGATGAAGTAAAGGCATCTGGGACCCCAAACTTGTGCATACTTTCCCAGTCCCAATAACTTGAAATTCTATAGCACTCTATGATGCACAAAGTGCTTTCTGCACAACCAGTCTGTGAAATAGAGTGTACAAATATTATCATTCCCATTTTACAGATGAGGAAACAGAGGCTCAGAGCAGGTAAATGACATCCTCAGTTACACATCTAATAAGTGGAAGAACCAGGTCTCAAACCAAAGTCTTTGGCTTGTTCCATGGCTCTGCAGTGCCTCCCCAATTCATCCCAACCTCTCTTTAGGGTGGCTGGACAGAACGTTCTGGACATCACTGATATAGGACAGCATGTGCCCACACAGTCAGTCCTAGGAAAGCTATGTATTCTGGTCAAGCCTGCTGAGTCCATTTCCCCTTCATAATCCAGATCAGTAGCCTTCCCCAGCTCCTTTTCTCACCCACTTATGCTGAGCACACCCTTACCTCCCCAGGGGATTGTACCTGGTTCTGGGGAGCTGGGATCCAGAATGTCCTTGAGAGTCAAATTGAGGCAAACATACTGTGACCTCCAAAACAAGGAGCTCCTGGTCTTCTTCCGGACCAGGCAGTAGGGAGTAAAGCGGGTGGAGCTGTTGAGGCTGTCCACAGGGACCAGCTCCCCATCTTTGCTCAGCTCTTGGACTACGTTCTTGGCAACCCACTCAAATGCAGAGACCATGGCTCTTAGGAAGGGCAAGAGAGAAGAGAGGACAGAAGCTAGTTAGTCTTTGTGACTCCTCTCTCCTGAAGGCATGGAGCAGTCACTTTAATGCTTTGCACCTACTATGTTCCAGGAACTGTGCTAAGCGCTAGGCATACAAAAAAAAAAAAAAAAAAAAAGACAAAAGACAGCCCCTGTCCTTGAAGAATTCACAAGTTAATTGGGGAGAGAATATGCAAACAACTATGTTCTCTCTCTCTCTCTCTATATATATATATAATATGTGTTTAATATATATAGATACACATATACATGTACACACTTACATTTGCAAATATACATGATAAATTGGCAATAATCAACAGAGGGAAGGTATTGGGAGAAAGAGAGAATAGGGAAAAAATCTTCCTGGAAAAAGTGGAATTTTCTCTGGGACTTGAGACCTGAGAAGCCAAGATGGGGAGATGAGGAGGGAGCACATTCCAGGCATGGAGGACAGCAAGAGGAAATGTCCCGAGCCATCAGAGAGTACAGGGCAGGGAGTAAAGCATAAGAAAACAAGACAAATAGAAGGGGGCTAGATTACGAAGGGTTTCAAATGCCAAGCAGAGCATTTTGTATTTGATCCTGGAAGGGTTAGGGAGCTGCTGGAGTTTACTGAGTAGAGGGGGTGATGTGGCTAGATCTGCACTATAGAAATGTTAGCTATCATCATCATCATCATCATCATCACCAGCATTGTTATTAATTATTGCTTCTTTCTCAGCCAAATCTGGAAAAACTTTTTTCTAACTGTTGCCTCAACTTCTTTACCTTCCTCTCCTCAACCTGTGGCAATCTGCCATTTATCCTCATCCTAAACTGAAACTTCCCTCTTTAAGGTTACCAACAGTCATTTAATTTGCTGACTCTGATGACTTTCTCAGTTCTCATCCTTCTCGACCACTCTGCGGTCACACACACAAACACACACACACTCAGTGTGCTCTCTGCTGCTTCAGTTTTCATGGCACTGGAAGGGATGGAGGAGAGGCTGACATTTATGTAGCTCTTCCTGTATGTCAGGCACTGTGCTAAGTGCTTTAGAATTGCTATCTTTATTTGATCCTCACAGCAACTGTGGGAGGTAGGAGTGCTTATTATCCCCACTTGACAGATGAGGAAACTGAGGAAGGCAAAAGTGAAGTGACTTGCCAAGGTCACCCAGCCAGTAAGTATCTGAAGTCTGATTTGAATTTAGGACTTCCTAATTTCAGGGCCAACATTCTATCCACTGTGCCACCTCCCTGTCTATACAAGAGAAAGGCTCAAGGCTAAAATTATTAACCTTTTTTGTGTCACAGACATCTGTCAGTCTGGTGAAGTTTTTGGACCCCTTATCAGAATAATGTGGTTTTTTTTTAAGGCAATTGGGGGTTAAGTGACTTGCCCAGGGTCACACAACTAGTAAGTGTCAAGTGTTTGGTCTGAGGCCGGATTTGAACTCAGATACTCCTGACTTCTTCAGGGCCGGTGCTCTATCCACTGCACCATCTATCTGCCCCAGAATAATGTTTTCAAATGCATAAAATAAAATACGTATGATTACAAAGGAAACAAATATAATAAGAAGAGGAACCAGAAGGAGTGGGGAAGGGAGATGTCATCTCCCGGACTCTGGCTCACTTTTTCATGCTCTGGGAGAGGTTGTGCAGGCTACAGGTACCTATCCTGTTCTTCCCCAAGCTTTTTTCTAAGGTGCCTTCTCTCCAGACCCCGCTCCTCCCCGCTTTGCTCCCTGCAGCAGCTTACTTTAGCAGTCTTGGGCTCTTGGTGGATGGCGGGTGCGCTTAATGGGGTGGGGCGGTCGTGTGGGGTGGGGCGGAAGTCTATCCTTCCCTAAAAACTGCGCGTTGTTTCAAAGAGAGAATTTACGAGCTGTTCTCCAGCTCCACCAAAACTGAAACTACTTGACTTTTCTCTCATTACCCTCCTTTTCTTGCCCCATATACAGAAAGGAGGGATTGAGAAGTCAATATGAGAACTGCCATTTTTTGTCTTCCGCCCAGGCTTACCCAGTCTGACTGCTGATGTTAAGGGACAATGGGGAGAGTCAAGGGGCTGACAGTCAAAACCACCCACTTCCTCTGCTGCGCCCCCTCCCTTTCTTCTTATTTCTCCTCCCTCACTCCTCCCCATGGAGTTCTTTTGGCAAAGAAGGGAAATAGCAAGGAGAGAGAATCTTTCACTCATTATTTATTTCTCAAACACTTACAATTGACAGAAAGCTGAGGATGAGAAGCGGAAATAGCAAACATATGGGGTGACAGGTTCCAAAAAGATCTTACCAGAGTACAGTCCTTGTCTCCATTACATGGTGAGCTCCTGGGGGGCTGGGACTGTCTTTTGCCTCTCTTTGTATCTCCAGTAGCCTAGCACCAATACCTAGTACACAGTAAGCCTTAATAAATGCTTATTGACTGACATAATCTTGAAAGATGAGATTGAATGTAAAGTATTACTTGAATTCAGAAAATCAGTTTGACAAGTGCATGATGGAGAATCCGAGGCAGTTCCCTTGAAAAAGATCTTTGGATATCAGCAGGCTGAAAGCTCAGTATACCCCATCATCATGATATGGAAACAAATAAACAACAAAAAGCTCATGGGATCTTGGGTTGCTTTAGGAGGTGGTGGGCTCCTCCTCCCAGGAGGTCTTCAAGCAAAGGCTGATGATCACATGCCTGGCATGTTGTTGAGAAGATTAACATCCCTTCTAGCTGACATGCTGTAATTCTGTTCTTTTTCTGACTTGCTATTATTTCCATTGCATTTATTATGCAAGCCTTTACTGTTCAAAATGAGTCAGCATGCTGACATCTTTGGAAATTCCCTTTTGCAGCCAGCTGTTCATATAAGTCTTTTCACATTTTTTTCTGAAATCATCCTGTGCTAAATATTTTGTAAATATCATCTTGTTTAATCCTCACAAAACCCCTGGCAGTTAGGTGCTATTATTATTCTTTTTTGACAGGGGAGGAAACTGAGGCAGGCAGAGGTTAAGTGATTTGTGTAGGGTCACACTACTAGTATGGATTTGAGGTCAGATTTGAGCTCCAGACCTCCTAACTTCAGGTCCAGTGCTCTAGCCACTGAACCACCCAGCCACCACTCCCTCTAGAAGCAGCCCATGCCACTTTTTGGCATTGTTCTGGTGGTTAGGGAGGCTTGTCTTTTTTTCTTTACACCAAATCTAGATCTGATTCTACAACTTTCACTCAGTAACTGGTCCTGTCTTCTGGGGCTGGGCAGAACACGTTTCATCTCTCTTCCCCTTGAGAGCCCTTCAAACATTTCAAGGCGGCCATCGAATCCCTTCCCTCCAGGTCCTTTAACTGGTCCTGGCACATGGACTCTCCAGGCTCCTTCTCATCCTGGACTTCTTCCAACTTGTCAATACTGTCATGCTCCAAGGAGCTTCTACAATTCAGGAAATGAACGTCAAGGGCTGCTGTGGCCCACAAGGTCATTATGGTGGTGATCACTTCTCTGAATTGTGCTATAATAACTAAATTATTATTAGCACTGAAAAGGCTTGCAAAGCCCTTTTACAAATATTATCTCACTTGATCCTAGCAACAGCCCTGGAAGGTAGGGGCTATTATTATCCCCATTTCAGAGATGAGAACACTGAGGCAAACAGAGGTGAAGTGACTTGCCCAGGGCCACCCAGAGCTAGTAAGTATCTGAGGCAGGATTGAAACTCAGGTCTTCCAAAGTCAGCACTCTGTTTACTCCACCACCAATCTAGACTGCTCCTTAGCAGAGAAGAAAAAGACACACAATCAATTGTAGAACCTATCTGTACCAATGTCTTTGAAATGTCGCTCCCAGAACTGAACACAACTCCAGATGTGTTCTGGAAATTTGAATGATCTCTAAGACTTATCTTTCTGAGTTCAAATACGGCCTCAGACACTGAAGCCTGTTTGCCTCAGTTTCCTCATGTGTAAATTGAGCTGAGAAGGAAATGGCAAACCACCCCAGTATCTTTGGCAAGAAAATCACAAAGAGTCTGGCATAAATGAACAACAAGAACAAGGCATTATACTAGATAACTGGGGATATGAAAACAAAAATTAAACATCCCCTACTCTCAAGAAATTTTGTATTTTCCTGGCTGAGATACAACAGGAAGTAATCAGGTAATTTGCATAGGGAAGAAACAAAGATGTCATGAAGAATTCTTTTACCTGAGGCAAAAAGAGTTAGTAGGGTTAGAGGTAGTGGTTGCTGGGGCCATTGTGGGAGGAGCTGCACAGAGGACAGTCAAACCTTGAGCATCCTTGAGCCAATAGAGGTGGCACCTCTGCCTTTGCCTCTAAAAAGTTTTGGAGGGAAAAGAGAAGGCGTGGCAGCCCTTAAAGGAGGTTGTACTACTACTGAAACCAGATAATAGATGTCTTTGACCTTGAAGTGAGGAGAAGGGATGGTAGCTGTCATATAGAAGAAGTGTATCCCATCCAAGAAGAAGCTCCCTCCAGATGCTGGTGCTCTAGAACACAGCTCCATTTACCCTGTGCTGCTTATGGCTTTGGGTGAGAGCACTAAAACCCCTGACGGCATCAGGGAAGGAAGGCTTCATGAAGGAGGTGGCCCCTGAGCTGAAACTAAAGAAAAAATACCAATTGTATGAAGGTAGGATCGAGGAGAACAGCTTTGAAGGCATGGGAGGGGGACGGGTGGCTTGTGAGAATCAAGGGATAGAAAGGTGAATTCTAAGAAAAGCCAGGAATTAAGTTTGGCTGGCCTGCAGAGTGTATGAAGTGGATTAATGTGAGATAATGTGGGTTAGGGGACTGGTCATGTTTGCTATTCTTCCAACCCAACACTCCATCTCCCCATTCTATCCCTTTTCACTGTCTGTCCCCCCATTCTGAAATGTTCTCCCTCCTTACTTCTGTCTCCAGGCTTCCCTGGCCTGCTTCAAGACTCAGTTCACATCCCACCATCTATAAGAGGCCTCTCCCTCTTCCACCCTTCCTTAAGCTCCCCCTTCCCCTTCCCAGTATCTCCATCTGAGTTACTTTACATTTATGCTGTATATATTATTCATATTCATATTCATTTACATACCATCCCTTTATGATTCCTTTCAGAGGTAAGACTTTTTTTTTTTACCTTTCTTTCACTCTCTAGCCCTTAGCACAGTGCCTGGAACATAGTAGACCCTTAATAAATGCCAGTTGCCTGACTGAGGTAAGTGTGGAAAGGTAAGTAGTTAGATTGTGGAGGGTCTAAAATGTCAGACTGTGAAGTTTATTTTATCCTAGAGGCAATAATGGAGAGGTGAGAAGGGCATATATTCCAAATGTGGGGAACCTCTGGTACGAAGATATGGAGGCCATCATCCTTCCCACCTGAGTCACAACTCTAGGTCACCCATCCCATATCGGCAACCTTTCCCTCAGAATCCCCAGATCCAAAGATTTCCTTCCTCTTTGGTCTCCCAATCTTCAGGAGGTCAAGAAAGTTTCCATCTCTGTTCCTTTTGCCTTTCCTAAGGTGATAATGACCAGTTCTATAGCCTTCTTCCTTTTACCCTAGATCCTCTAATGAAATCCCGGGTTTGGACAACACACACACACACACACACACACACACACGCACAGACTAACTCAGTGATTTCTCATCTGGGGAATATGTATCGTTCACCCACTAGGTTTCTCATTCCTGTTCTTTGGTTCGTCTTCCCCAGTGGACCCATTCCAGGTGCTAACAGTCCTTTTTCTTTGGCTCTTTTCATAGGCTGCCACCTTGCCATGTGTGATTTGCCTACCTCCTTTTCTATCATGCATGTCCTAGGTGATGTCATAGTATTCTATGAAATGCAGAATTTTCTGGTCTAATTCACCCCTTTGTATTTGGAAAACAAGCCAGAACTTGTTACAGCTCTTGTGTGAATAGTATTTCCTCCAAGTCCTCTATGCTTCTGAGAAATCAAAATTATGTCTGTTGAAACATAAGGATCTTAGATGGAAGCTGGAAGGAAACCTAGAAGTCATCTAGTTCATTTTACAGATGAGGAAACTGAGGCCCAGGGAGGTTAACAGTCAATCAACAGCATTTGTTATATACTTATTATGTTCCAGGCCCTGTGCTAAGCATTGGGGGAAGTGAAACCATTTTTTCCCTTGGAGTTTGCATTCTAAGAAGATAGACAACAGGCACATATTATTATCGATGCAAGGGGGAAACAAGCTAATCTTGGAATTAGAAGAGATAGCACCCACTAGTCAAGTCAAATCATCTAACATTTATTAAATAATCAATATTTAACAAACACCTACTATGTGACAGGCACTGTGCTAAGCAATGGGGATGCAAAAAGAGATAAGCCTGGCCCTCAAGGAGCTTCCAATCTATTGGAATGAGCAAACTAAAAAAGAATCCCACCATGAAGAGCTATTATGAAGAAAGGGAAGCTCTACATAAAGGCAGAAGAGAATGACTGGAAAATATCTATAAGAAAGCCTCAAAAGAAAATACAACTTGAACACAGGTCTGACAAGAATTCCTAAAAGTTTTTTTCACAGAGCTAAAATATAAATTTAAAAACCAAATGAGAGCAGTAGAGGGGAAAATGGGAAAAGAAGGAAGAACTAGGGAAAGAAAGATAGGAAAAGAGAATTAATAACCTGAAAAAAGAGGTACAAAAGCATACTGAAGAAAAGTACATGAAAATTAGAGTTGGACAAAGAGAAGTTAATGACCCCATGTAATATCAACACAAGGTTACACAAGAGTGTGTCTAAAAAAAAAAATGATCTGGAGGTTTTAATGGACTACAAGCTCAATGAGTCAGTACTGTGATGTGACAATTCAAAAGCTAAGGTCATCTTGGGCTGCATCAAGAGAGGTATGGCTTCCAAGAAGAGGCAGGTGACAGTTCCACCTTGGCCCTGGTCACATTTCACCTGGTCTGAGCACCACAGTTTAAGAGCACCGATAAACTGGATGATGTCCGGAGGAGAGCAACCGCAAGAGTAAAGGGGTAAAAGGTGAGGACCAGCTGAAGGAGCTGTGGATGTGAAAAGACACAGGGGTGACCTACTAGCTGTGTACAAGTATTTAAAGGGCTGCGGAGCAGGGAATGGACTTGTCTGTTGACCTGAGAGGTCAGAAGAAGGAGCTGTGGACAGAGGCTGCAAACAGACAAATGAAGGCTAGATGTTAGGAAAAAACTTCCTAATAATAAAAGCTGTGCAAAAGGGGAATGAGTTGCCTTGAGAGGTGGTGGGTTTCCCTGCAATGGGGTCTTCAAGCAGAGGCTGAATGAGCACTGGTCTAGAACATCACAGTGGGGATTTCTTTTTAGTGCAGCAGCAGGGGAAGGCCCAACAAACAAATGTCATGATCCTGTGTTGTGAAATAGGGCTGTCCCCTAATGCACTGGGCCTGGGGCTGACATAGGGGGAGGAGGTATCAAATGGGTTGGGAAAGATGGGGCTAGGTCATCAGGCCTCAGTGAGAGCCTGCAGCATCACCAGACTCCCATACAATGCACAAAGTGAGTGCAGAGCACTGGGGTTCCAGGTAAATTGGGGGTCATCTCCTGAGAGCCACAGTCCACACTCTTCCAACAGATCACACATAATGGTCGACTCCTCATCCTGGCCCTGGACAAAGGACAGTAGCTCTGAAGGAAGGGAGAAAGTCCTCTTCTTGGTCTGATTGAAGTTCTCCTTCAGAATTGCCTTCACCTATGAGAAATAGGATCAGAGTGAACCCAGGGTCTCTGGGGAAGAGCACAAGATACTTTCTAGTTTTCTGAGAAACCAGGGTCCTGAGAGAAGTGCTAGAGCAGACCCTTGAGGCAGCTGCATGACAGGCAGGAAACCCTCTGAGGTCAGAACTCATCCCATTGAGTTCTGGGCAGTAGGGCAGAGAAAAGGGCAGGTCATCCACATAACTGAAACGATCCCATTCTAGATTGCTCCTTCTTCCCCATTTCTTACTCATTCTCTAGACTGCCCATTCCAAGGATTCTGGGAAGTTGTGGGTGCCCAGCTTATTTCTGGGAAGGAAGCAGATTTTCTTACCAGTTCTACCTCCTGGGACAGGATCTGTTCCTTTTTCTGTAGCAACTGGATCAGGAGTTGATGTTGGATGTCACTCAGGGCTGGGGACAAATCAATCAATCAGTCAATCACGTCTTTCCTAAATGCCTTACCAAGGGCTCGACTCTGCTAGGTGTTTGGAATAGAAAGACAAAAAAGGAATGGTCTCTGCTCTCAAGTAGATTATACTGTGTGAGTATGTACTTGAGAGCATGTATGCATATATATACATATGTGAGTCTATACACAGAGGACACAGAAGGTAAATACAAAGTCATTTGCAGGAAGACAAATAATTGTGGAGAATCAGGGAAAGCATTATGTAGGAGGTGATACTGGAACACAGCTCTGAAAGAAGCTAGCTAGGGATTCTAAGAAGAGGAGTTGAGGAGGTGGGTGTTTTCTAGGCTTTGCAAAAGCATGGAGAGAGGAGAAGAAATGCTTTATTCAAGGAATAGCAAGAATGTAGAGAGTGAGAAGTATAGCAATAATGTATAATGAGCCTGGAAAGTTCCACTGAAGGCAGGTGTCAAAGGGCTTTAAAATGCTTAAAGGAGGAGTTTAAAGGGCAGCTAGGTGGTGCAGTACATAGAACATAGTCCTGGAGTCAGGAAGAGCTGAGTTCAAATCTATCCTTAGTCATTTACTATGTGACCTTGGGCAAGTCACTTGACTTTTTTTTTCCTTAGTTTCCTCAATTATGAAATGTGGATAGCATAGTACCTCTATACCAGGGTTCCTTCTTTCCTTCCTTCCTCCTTCTTCCCTCTTTCCATCCCTCTCTCCCTCCCTCTCCCAATGTACACATAGTGAATCATATACTTACCTGCAGGTGCTCTGCCCAAAGGAATATAAATATTAATTGCTGAAAACTTGAAAGATACCTGGGGGTTTATGGGCTAGATTTCTTTCTTAAGGAGTTTTCCTTAAACCCAAATCGCTCTGGCTCTCATTGATTGGCCAACAATAGATCCCAGTCCAAGCCTCCTGTGGTTCTTGCTTGGGGCCTGATGGCTCAGCATGAGTGTAAATAGCAATTGTTTCTGTTTTGGCCAGAAACCCTGAGATTCTTCCCCTCTCAGATTTTTTTTTAACTAGGTAAAAGTGGCCATTCTTTGCCTTCTTTCTTTCTTCTTTTCTTTTTTTTGCTGAGGCAATTGGGATTAAGTGACTTGCCCAGGGTCACGCAGCTAGTTAAACGTCAAGTGTCTGACGCTGGGTTTGAACTCAGGTCCTCCTGACTCCATTGCTGGTGCTCTATCCACTGTGCCACCTAGCTGCCCTTTGCCTTATTTCTTACCTAGCCTTAATCACTGAGTGTATATTGCTTCAAAGCGAGACCTAGGAAAGACCTTAGTTTAATAAGGCCTAAGTGTCTCACTGCATCCAGGGCCATCTCCAGTGGTTCTGAGTGATATCTTACCACTGGACCAAATGGCTCTGGAGGAGATAGTGAGGCTGGTGACTTTGTACAGCCTTGCCTCACTTAAATCCAAACCACTGCAAGTCATGATTATCATCTTTCTGATGTCATGATCTTCTTTGAAAATAAAGGAGAAACAACAACCTCCCAGGACTGTTGGGAGGATCAAATGAGATAATATTTGTAAAGTGCCTGGCACATAGTAGGTGCTATATAACTTATATATAAATAATGATGATGGTGATGATGATGATGATGATGGGAATGGCGCCACTGGAACTTATTCTTCAGGGGAATGACATCGTTAGAGCTGCTTTTTAAGAAAATTACTTTGCCTTTCATGGGGAGGATGTATTAAGGGAGAGACTTGATGCAGAAAAATCAATCAAGAGGATCCTGTAATAGTGACGAGGGCCTAAACGAGGGTAGTGGCTGTGGGGATAATGAGAAGAGGATAAGAGGGAGAATTAATAAAACTTGACAACTGGTTCCATAAGGTAGATAAGGATGAGGGAAGAGAGGAGGATAGTTTTCAAGTTTTGAATCTAGATTCTAGAATGATGATGGTATCCTTGAAAAAAATAGCAAAGTTAGGAAGACAGATGGGTTTGGAGAAAAAGACACTGAATTCTACATTTGGATTATCATGAATTTCTGATATCCATATAACATCACCTTTATAATACCTGTCAAATATCTGCTGTCCTCTCTTCTGATACTGCCACCATTCTGATACAGACCCTCCTCACCTCACTCTTGGACTCCTGCAAGAACCTGCTGGTGAGTCTGCCTTCCTCAAATCTCTCCCCACTCCAATCCAGCCTCCATTCAGCAGTGACCTCCATCCAGCTGTCACTTCCCAGCTCAATAAACTCCAGTGGTTCGCTATCACCACCAGGATCAAATATAAAATCTTCTCTTTGGTATTTAAAGTTCTTTGTATACTGTCTTCTCTCCTGCCTTTCTAGTCTTTTATACCTTACTCCTTGCCTCTTAATACTCTTTGATCCAGTGGCACTGGCCTCCTTGCTTCACAAACAAGTCTCTGTATCTCTTGGCTCTGGGTATATTCTCTGGCTTTCCCTTATACTTGGAATGCCCTCCTTCCTACCTACTGCCTCCCTTGGCTCACTTGAATTTCAAACTAAAATCCCCATTTTTTACAAGATACCCTTCCAAACCCCTCTTAATTAGAATGCTTTCTCTTTGTTTATTATAACATATTGATACATATTTGTTTGCTTGTTGTCTCCCCTATTAGATTGTGAGCTCCTTGAGGGCAGGGACTGTTTTTTACCTGCAGCTTAGCACCATGCCTGAAACAGAGTAAGCACTTATTTACCATTTGACTATCCTGCGGGAAATTCCAGACTAGGGTTGGCTATGGGATATGGGAGTCATTGGTATAGAGATGAACCAATAGGAGGTGATGAGATCACTGTGTGAGAGTATATAGAGAGAAGGGGGGACAAAGCCAGAGCTGCAGAGTATATCCATGGTTAAGGTTTGAGACACAGTGATGATCTAGTAAAAGAGACTGAAGAGTGGATAAATGAGCAGGGGAAGAAATAAGACATAGCAATTTCACAAAAACTCAGAGAAGATAATGTATGTAGGAGGACATGGTAGTCAATATTGTCAAATGCTGCAGATGTCTAGAAGGAAGAGATCTGAGAAAATGTTATTGGATTAGGCGACTAAGAGATCATTAGTAACTTTGGACAGAACCATTTCAGGTGAGTGATGAGGGTGGAAGCCAGAGTGCATGGGATTGAGAAAGTAAAGGCCATGCATGGAGACAGCTTTTCTAAGCTGTTTGGCTGTGATGGAAGAGAGATACAGGGTTATAGCTGGATGGGGATGGTGGAGATTTCAGAAACGGGGAAGATCTGAGTGTGCTTGTAGACAGAAGGGAAGGAATCTGGATAAAGAGTCATTGAAAATTAGAAGGAGAGACGGAATGATTATGGGTGCATTTTACCAGAGGAGAAAGAAGGGATATCATCCACAAGTATAGGGGATGACCCTGCAAAGGAGAAGGGCTTACTCTTCATCAGAGAATCAAGAAAAGCAGGAGAAAACGGTGAATAATGACAAGCAGTCTTGAGATGTAGAATCGATGAGAAGAGAAAACTGGAAAATTGTCCGTAATTCATTAGTGAAGCATAAGGAAAGGTTCTTTTCAGATATTGGAGGGGTAGCAGATAGTGCGGAAGGCTGGAAGAGAGAAGAGAGCAATAGCCACTGTGGGAAATGGAAGAGTCAGCTATAGAAGGGTAAAAGGATTGCCTTGCAGCAGTGAGGCCCGATTTGAGATTTTTGTTGTTTGGTCATTTAGTCGTGTCCAACTTCTCATGACACCGTATGGAGTTTTCTTGGCAAAGATATTAGAGTGGTTTGCCATTTTCTTCTCCAGTGGCTTAAGGCAAACAGAGGCTAAGGCAAGCAGTGACTTGCCTAGGTTCACACAGCTACTGAGTGTCTGAGACTGGATTTGAGTTCAGGTCTTTTTGACTACAGGCCCAGCACTTTATCTACTGAGCCACCTAGCTGCCTGTTATTTGGGATTAAATAATATAAATTTGTAGTGGACCCAGTCAGCCTAGTTGTGTGACTGCTGCATGAAATGCTTCAGAATAGCTCAAACCAGGCATTAAAGAGACAGTGGTAGGGGACAGGACAGAGTATCAATCAATAAACATGCATTGATAAATGACCGTGCCAGGAACTTTTCTGCTAGGAATATGGAGACAAAAACAAAACTATACCTGTCCTAAAGGAACTCACATCCTGATGGGGTTGGTGCAGGGAAGGAAGACAACATCTCTAGGTGTGTACAAGCTATAAAAGGAATGGAAAGGACTGGGAGGCATAATGCTTTTGGGGAAGGCTCTGCCAACTGTGAGGATCAAGAATGGCTTCATATAGAAGGTGGTCCTTGAACTTGATCTTGGAGGACACTAAGGATTCTAAGAAGTGAAGGTGTGTACAAGGTGACTTCCAAGCATAGGGAACAGCCAATATAAAAACAGAGAAATGAGAGATGGAATGATATGTATGAAGAACAGTAAGAAGGCCAATTTGACTGGATTGTAGAGTGTGTAAAGGGGAGTAGTATGTAACAAGACTTGAAAAGTAAGTTGAAGCCAGGCTGTGAAGAGCTGTGAATGTCAAACAGAGGACTTTATATTTGATCTTAGAAGATATAGGAAGCCAGTGGAATTTACTGAGTAGGGACTAATACGGTCAGACCTTTACTTTAGGAAGAAAACTTTGGAAGCTGTGTGTAGGATGGGTTGGAAAAGTGAGACATCAGAGGCAGGGATACAACAATTAGATTGGTATTCAGGTGGTTCAGGTGAGAGGAGATGAAGACTTGAACTAAGATAGTGACTGAGTGGTGAGAAAGGAGTGGATGTGAGAATGTGGTGAGAAGGGGACAGATGCAAGATGTTGTGGAGGTAGAATGTACTACACATATTGACAGATTTAATATGGGGGAAGGAGAGGAAAGGCTCAGGAGTGACCCCAGGGTTACAAACCTAGATGATTAGAAAGATTGTGGTGCCCTTGAGAGAAATAGGGAAATTAGAAAGAGAAGGTGAGTTTTAGAGTGAAAGAAGAGTTCAGATTTTGGCTTGAGTTTGAGATGTCTATGGGTTATCCAGTTCAAGATGTCCAATAGGAAGTTGGTGATGGTGGATTGGAGCTCAGGAAAGAGACTAAAACTGGATATACAGATCTGATAGTTATCTTCATAGAGGTGTTAATTAAATCTGAGGAACCATGATGGATCAATGACAAGGGCTAAGAACTACAGGGGAATACTATGGCCCATCCCCAATCAGGATAGGGTCCTAATGTTTCCTGTCCCCCAGGGAGTACAGGAAGGAAGGATTTAGGAGGACAGAACAACTTTCTTCTCATTGATGATGGGATTTCACCGGGGAGTCAGTGCCATATGAAAGAGAGATTGCTGGCTGGTATCACAGAAATGGGTTATGCCAATATAGTGTGTACGTGTTTGGCTTTGGAGAAATCACTTTCCCTTCTGGGCCTTTGTTCTTCTATCAACAAAAGAGGGAGGTGATTACCTGTTTGCTTTCCACCTTATAGGGATAATGTGAGGATAAAAATACAGGGAAGATTTGAGGTTTTTTTATTTGTTTGTTTTTTGTTTTTTAGAAAAGCTTAATCGAAAATCTCAAGCACCTCTTATATAGGAACTGAAAGGGTGTTGTTTTCTGAGTGTTCATGACCCAGGGTCTACTTTCCCCTCTTCTCTCTGATCCTACAATCCTTCTTACCATTCAGAGCTCCAAGGAGATAGAGGAAAGCCCCTGCTAGTTCCTCCACAAGTTGTCCATTCTGGTCTTGCAGGTTACTTAGGATATCGCCTGTCATGCCCTTCACCTTCTGTGGGGGTACTCCAGTGTACAAACTCTGTTCTAGCTGTGGAGGAAAGATAAGGAGAAAGCTGAATGGTGAGAGTGACTTGACCTGCCTAATCCATCCCCTTGGACTAGTAGCCAGGCTTGTCCTGCCTCCAACCCTGGGATTAGGACATAGGGAAAAGAACCTGAGCTCCAGAACAAACCTTGGAGGGTTTGGCTCTACCACCCCATTCAGCAAGTGAAAAGTGGGAGGAGGAGACTCATGGATTCATATATAGCCAGTGTGGGGATATTTTTCCATTCTTCTTCCTTTTCCCTCTTTGAGCCCCTGGGAAAAATAAAAAGATTGTCCCCAAGGAAAATCCATGGTGATAGGTGGAGTTGGTTAATGGGAGCTTGAAGAGAGCAAAGATGGGGAAGAGCCTGTAGGGAGACAGTGGTGGTAGTTCATTCCTGGGAAAGAGTGAGTTGGAAAGAACTAAGTTCAAATCCAGCATCAGATACAGATTAGCTGTGTGACCCTGGGTAAATCACCTAACCTCTGCCTGTTTAAGTATTCCCATCTGCAAAAGGGGACCCACCTCCCATGGATGTTGTGTCAATCAAAAGAGATCAAACTATTTGTAAATCTTTGCAAATCTTAAAGTGCTCTATAAATGGGAGCTGTTATCTTTATAACTGGTGACATGTGTTTCCTACCTGAGGGCTTTCCACTTATTGTACTTGAAATGCCCACCCAGTCCTCCCAGAGACACCATGCCTATTTATGGGAGAGTGTGGCAAGGGTTTATGGTGGGGGGGGTGTTCTGCAGCTACTGTTTTGTTTTGGTTCTTAGGCAATTGGGGTTAAGTGACTTGCCTAGGGTCACACAGCTAGTAAATGACAAGTGTTTGGTCTGAGGCCGTATTTGAACTCAGGTCCTCCTAACTTCAGGGCTGGTGCTCTATCCACTGCACCACCTAGCTGCCTCTCAGCTACTGTTTTTATTATGTTATCTTAATTCCTTTGCTTCGAGCCAATTGTGGCTACTGGCTGACTCTTAAGGCTCAGCTGGATGGGGGCAGGGTAGGATGGCTGATAATTTAAGGAGTGTAGACTCACAGGGTAACCCCTAGACCTGAGGGGGGCAGCTACTCTCTGGTGAGATCACTCAGAGTGGGTATTACATTAGAATGAAATCGAACTTGTCCCAAATATCTATAGATTAGGATTTTGTAAAAAGAAAAGCACAGCAGCAATAGTTCCCAGGGTTTACCTAATACTTTACTGGCAACAGTCCTGTGAGGCTGGTAGTTCAAGTATTATCATCCCTTTCATTATTATTATTACTACCAAGAAATCATAATAGTAACGATAATAACTGATACCACCACCACCAACAATAATGAGAGGCTACAAAGTACAGTAGCTGGACCGCCAGCCTCCACAGGATGGCCTGGGTCCAAGTCAATATGGATAATTCTGGCTGTGTGACCCTGGGTAAATCACTTGCGCTCTCAGTGTCCCAGGCAGTGTTCTAAGACTCTAAGTTGATGAGCAGGTTTGCATTGGAAGGGGGAGATCCCCTGCCAAAAGATCTTTCTGTTGATGATATCCCAGCACCAAAAATAGTTGAAATTTATACAGAGCTCTAAGGTCTGCCGAGAGCTTCAGAAAATGATTATGTTTGAGCCTCAAAATATCCCTGGGAAGCAGGTGCTGTTATTATATCCATTTTCTACGTGAGGAAATTGAAGATCATTTAACTGAAATGACTTGCCTGGGGGGATCACACAGGTCCTTGGTGCCAGGGCTGGGATTACAAACCCAGTTTTCCCAATCTAGGATCTTTCCCTTTACACTAACCAAAATGGACTTTTAAAATTTCTTTGTTAAGGTAACTGTCTTAGTGAATGACTGAAGAAACTGTAGTATACGAGGATTTAAATGTTTTGGAATACTATTGTGCTGCAGGAAATGAGGAAAAGGCATTTTAAAGAGATGGGAAGGCACGAGACTACAGAGTGAAGTGAGCAGAATCAGAAGAACAAATTATGCAATAAAATCAATGTTAAAAAAAACTAGCCTTTTTGAAAGACTGAAGAACTCCATCAACTAAATTCTTAACCATGATTCCAGAAGACTGATAAAGAAGAACATTGCCTAGTTCATGCCAAAGAGTGATGGACTAACGTGCAGAATGAAAAATGCATTTTTGGATGTGGCCAATATAGACTTTTATTTTGTTTGACAGTGCTTATATGATACAGGGTTTCTTAGTTTCTTTCTCTCTTCCTTCACTCCTTTCTTTCATAGTTTCTTTTTCTTTCTTTCTCTCTCTCTCTTCTTCCTTCCTTCCTTTTCTTTTCTCCTTTCTTCTTTATTTCTATTCTTTCTCTTTTGTAGGTATGGGGAGATGAGTGGGACAAAGAAATCAATGCTTACCAATTGAAAAAAAAAGCTTTAAAAAGAAAGCAACTGATAAAGTTGCAATGTGATATAATAAAATTAATAATTTGGACCAGATAACCTCTGAGGCCACTTCCTAACTTGAAATTCTGTAATTCAAGACCCTTTGATAAGGAATAAATTGAACAAGTATACCAAGGCTATGGGGACTTGGGGGGAATGTCCCCAGGATACAGAGAATTCTATCAGCTCTGACAATGTTCTTTTGCCTTGTGACCAAGAGGACTCTTAGGGAAAGAAGTTGACCATATCATAGGAGCAGAGCTGGAAACCTCTCAGAAGACAGAAGTCCTATAAAGCTAACGCAGACTATCTTCCAAAGAAACTCGTTAGAAACTTAGTTGGTGTATTTGTGGTTCCCCAATGCAGTCTTTAGTAGAATTATTTTATAAAGCAGTGAAGAAAATTCTGAGTTTTGAGGTTTTACAAGCTATTCTGAAAACTGTGGCTGATGTGATATGCTAGAGGTTTGGAAAGAATAAAATATGAAGAGTTTGTTTTCCATGGTTCTCTCTTGCCCTTCTTCAACTTCCACATTTACTAGATTTTAGAGGAGTTTTTTGGTTTATTTTTGTTTTTGTTTCTAATTTGTACTCAATGGTGAGGATTGGTTTCCTGAATATATTTATGCATATGTAAAAATTGTCTTATTATTTGTGATTCAACTTTACATTTTAATTCTTGTTTTATTATGTACATTTTAAGTACTGTTGAGCTATTTCAGGTCATGCCTGACTCTGTGATCCAATTTGGGGTTTTCTGGGCAAAGATATTGGAGTGTTTTGCCATTTGCTTCTCCAGCTCATTTTATAGATGAGGAAACCGAGGCAAACAGGATTGAGACTTAACCAGGGTCACATAGCTGGTAAGTGTCTGAGGCCGGATTTGAATTCAGGAAGATGAGTCTTCCTGACTCTAGGCTGGGCACTCAAACCATTGCACCCCCCAGCTGATCTGTACATTCTAATAACCAAATGTAAATATTAAGAATAAAAATGAATACTAGTATTTAAAGAAAACCCTACTTGGTGAATAGGTTCCAGGGAGTTTCTTTTGGCACCAGTTGCTCTACAAAGACAGTACTCAGTTCTTTCCCCCCACATAATTCCAAGCCTTAACTTATTTGGTTAATTGGATCTTGACTCAGTTCACTGCCCAACTGTCTAAAACAGCCCAGTAATCAGCAGCTACTAAAGCACCCACTCCCAGGTCCCTGCACCTCAGCCATCCTTCTTAACTACAATCCCCAGACCATCCTCCCTCCTCCAACTACCATGCTTCACAGGGAGTCCTTCAACTTGCAGGATCATGGGATCTAGATTTTGAAGGGTCCTTGGCATTCATCTAGTCCAGTCTCTTCATTTTATAGATGAGGAAACTGAGGCCCAGAGAGCTGTGCTGACTTCCCCCAGGTGACACAAGTGGTTAAAAAGAACAATCTGATATGAAGCCAGGTACTCTAACTCACAATCCAGTGTTGTCCCCAACCTACTCTTCCCTTCTGTCCTCCCCTACCCCAGCACCCAGCCCCCACTCCTGTAATTCTCTGTTACCCTGACTTCCAGACTCTCACCATGTCTTCTAAGTCCAGCAGATCCTGCTCACGCTGGAGGAGCCCCAGGAGAGCCTGAAGCAGAAAGTGCAGCAACTCCCTGTCCAGCATGGTCAGTGGGCGGTGTTCATTCTCTACCTCAGCCTGCAGTTGCTCAAAGTCTAAGACTGTGTTGATTTTCATTGTTCTGGCAAAACCTAGAAAAAACAAGACAGTTAAGGTTGGGCTCACACTCTGACTCTCAGGACCTTTGTCCCTTGTCCCTGCCTGGGAAGCCTTTAGCCTCAGTAGGCTGCTAGAGGGGCTCCCTGCTTTGTACCGTCTTCAATCCAGGTGGGCATCCATATTCCCTGGCCTCAAGAATTTTATCCAGTTTATGAGGACCCAGGGAGGGGTCTGGGATCTCACTCTATCACAGTAAGGAAGGGTAGTCACATACCCTATTCCCAATCTCAACCACAAGTAAATTAAGTGATGTTTCGTTCCTTCCTATAGAAAAAGGAGTCATGGTTGAAGAGTCACCCAGCACTTCTCAAAGAAAGGACATTTTGTTTAGCATCTTTATCAATGATTTGGATACAGACCTCAGTGATTTCTTTGATACTTCAGTACATCTGTAGCTACATTTCATTGATTAATTATAGTAATAGCTCACATTTATATATCACTTTGCAAGTGCTTAACAAATATTATCTCATTTGATCCTCACAATAATCCTGGGAGGCAGGTGCTATTATAATCTCTCTTTTATAGATGTGGAAACTGAGGCAGATTGCAGTTAAGTGACCTGCCCAGGGTCACAAAGCTAGTAAGTGCCTTAGGCCAGAGTGAACTTAGGTCTGCTGACTTCAGGTCCAGTGCTCTATCCCCTGTGCCATCTACTTGCCTGATATGAATATTCATGCCAGCGGGGAATTTGACAACTGACCTATATTTCCTTACCCCATGCAACTGTTGTCCCTATCCTCCCAAATATCTTCCATAGATCCTCCCTTAGTTGGGTGCAGCTCCCAGCTGCCCATATATGGGGACTCTCAGTCCATATTGGATCTGGGTCCTTTTCCAATCCTACATTTCCTGGATGAAGTCTTTTAGAAAACTTATTACACACAGCTCTTACCTGAGAGGCAAGATTCTTCAGCGCCTCCTGAAAAATCATTCATTATCCTGCTAGATGGAACCATGCCGAAAGCGAACTCATATATGCATCTGCTGCGTTTTCTTTTTAATGGGAAACCTAATGGGAAAGAAGAGAATCTTTGCAAAGAGTTGATCTATCCTTTTCTGACTTCCACCCCTGTCTTTGGTCAAACAAAACAAAGCTAATCCTTCTCGTTTATAATAGACCTAAAATACTTGAAGACTGCTCTCACATCTTCTCTCCTCTAGGCTAACCATCTCTACTTCCCTGGCAGGGTCTACAGCCCCTCCCTCTGCTCACCCTCCTCCTCTGGATGTATTCCCTCTTTGGCTAAGGTGTGACGTGTTATGGAAGCCTGGGGAACCCTGACCTTCTCTCCATGATCTCTCATCTTCCCTCTCAGAGAGCTAAGCAGAGCAGTAGATAGAGACCCAAGCCTAGAGTCAGCAATCCTGAGTTCAAATATAGTCTCTGATATCTACTAGCTGCATGACCCTGGGCAAGTCACCTAATCTCTGTTTGCCTCAGCTTCCTCATGTCAAATGGGGATAATCATAGCCCCTCCCTCCCAGGCTTGTTGTGAGGGTCAAGTGAGATAATAATTTCAGAACACTTTCTCAACACAGTGTCTGGCACATAGTAAACACCATAGAATGTTAGCTGCCATCATACAGAACCTTCCATAGCACTTTCAGGCCAGTCTTCTTGAGTGCAAACCCTGCCCTGTGCCCCAGGCATGAGGGTCTCATGCAGCTACAAATAAGAAGGGCAGGCATGTGCCTAGGCGTAGAGGTGCTGCCCAGTCCAGTCTTGTGCAGACTCTACCCATTTCAGGCCCTTTGAACTCTCAACTCTTGGATCATAGACACCTGAACACAGGAAGATTCACTCCCTGGATGCTGGGGAAGCCCCTTGGGCAATCTGGGTTTGTGCCTTGCCTCCTCTCTTAGAGGAAGAGAAGGGAAGGAACAGGTGTTCATAAAGCATTTGCTATGTGCTAGATACTATACTAAGTATTTTATGAATATTATCTCATTTGACATGTAGGACGTGTAGGGTGACAGAGCCTGGGCACCCACTGAGACAAGTTCCCTTGAAACCTGAGGCTGGGTACCCATGCCAGGGTCACCCCTAGCCTTTGGGTGCTCTGCCTCCACCCCTTACATAAGCACAGTCCTTAGGAAGGGGCCAGGACCCACCTCACTGGTGCTGCTGTGAGAGAGCCATAAGCAGCGTGGCCTTGGCCCTGTCATTCCCTCTTGGACCCTCCCTGGCCTGTGGACCCTGGCCTGCCCATGCATCCTGCCTCTGAATATTGCAGGCTGCTTTTATCTCTGTGTTTCAATTGGGAGAGGTAGAATAAGTGGGAACATAGGGGAAAAAAGCCACAAACCTGATTCAAAACGCACTGTAGGTTCTGTAACTGAAAAGAGAAAATACCTGTTTCAGTCTTCAGAGGCCATCCATCCCCAGGATTCATCAGGAATCACAGCACAGAACAACACTGCCCAGTTCAAATCAAAGAATCAAATCCACCCTGTGTGGGTCCCTGACTCAGCCTGTGTTCCCATCCCTATGGTTCTTACCATCCAGTCTGGCAGGTGATTGGTTGGGCCAGTGCTAGACCTAGCAATAACAGCTGACTTCTAGCTAGTGAGGGCTTAAAGTTTGCAAAGTACTTCTCATAGATTATCTCACTTGATCCTCACAGGAGCCCTGAGACGTCTGGGCTACAGGTGCCATGATCCCCATTTTACAGATGAGAAGAGTGGGTCTCTCAGCAATGTGACCACAACACACAGCTGGTATGTATACAGGAGGTGGGATTTGAACCAAGGTCTCTGCTCACCATGAGACGAGAGTGGAGTTTCTTCATCTGTAAAAGGAGGATGCTAACGCCTGCCTGTCTCACCCCTTAAGAGCCCAGAGGATTCAAATGCATTATGAGATTTTTCCATTAGACAAATACAAAGTAATATAAAACGTGTAAGTTATGGCTGACTTCTTGTTTAGACAGATGGAGGAAAGGTACCAGAGAACAACCTGACAAACAGGTAGGACCCAATATTCCTCCAAGGCCTTCATCTTTCTATCACCATCAGGGGGGCAGAGTGAATGGAATGCTGGACAGAGAGACAGGGAGCCCAGCTATGGTCATTAACAACACCTGGACTCCCTATGACATAGGGTAGTTGGGAGGTTCCAATTAGGTAATGTACATACAATGTTTTGTGAACCTTAAAGTAACTTCTCTGTGTATACAACTTTTTGCTGAGTCATATTTTCAGTTGTGTCTGGACTCTTTGTGACCCCATTAGGGGTTTTCTTGATGGAGACACTGGAGTGGTTTGCCATTTCCTTCTCCTGCTCATTTTACAGATGAGGAAGCGGAGGCAAACAGGGTTGAGTGACTTGCCCAGGGTCACACAGCTAGTAAATGTCTGAGGCTGAATTTGAACTCTGGTCCTCCTGCCTCTGAACCCAGCCTTTTATCCACTGTACCACCTAGCAGCCCATATACATGTGTGTACATATATATATGTATATACATGTATATACACACATATATATATATAAACACATCTACACATGTATAGAGGGTATCTCAAAAGCTATTTTTTAAAAATAAAAAATATTATTGTATATTATATATAATATATATTGTATATAATTATATAGTATGTATTATATTATATATATTATGTATATATTATATATATCATATTGTAAAAAAATTTTTAAAAAGCTTTAAGCTTTAAATTGCACTAAGACTTTTCAGGGCAGCTTTCTTAACCTTGTTTGACTCAGTTTCCTCTTCTGTAAAATTGAGCTGGAAAGGGAATGGCAAACCACTCTAGTATCTTTGCTGAGAAAACTCCAAATGGAGTCATGAAGAGTTGGACAGGAATGAAATGAATGAACAACAACACAAAGGCTTTTGGGACACCCTGTATATATTTTAGTTCCTGAGATTTCATTGATATTGACAATGGCCAATGAAGAAATTCCCTCTACCAGAGATTTGCTTGGTGCACCTTGAAATTAAGTGTTTTGTACAGGGTCCCACGACCAGTACATGTCTCAGGCTATTCAAGAATGCAGTTCTTCCAGATTTGGAGGCAGGCTCTCTAGCCATTCCATTTCCTTCCAAGTTCTTATCATTTCTTAAGTTCTATCTCCTCTATGCTACATAGAGGGAAAGAATACTTAGCTCTCTCTGGGGCTCACCTAAGCGGAACCTTCAGCTGAATCAAAAACCAGAGAGGGCAGTTTCTCAATTCTAGGGAACTAACAGTGTCCTTGAGGAGCTACGTGGACAGTGGTCCCCTGGATGGGCTGTCAAGGGCTCACTGGGCTCAGGGGCTAGAAAGACAACCAACCTTGTCACTCACCTTTAGGTGGGAAGGTTTTCTGGTTCTTGTCTGGAAGTAGAAGAACATCTAGATAAAGAAGAAAATGGTTACAAATGATAAAATTCAATGCAGTTGCAGCTATGGGGGAAAAGGGACAGGGTTCCGTTGTTGGAGAGGCTATAAATCAGTGTAGCCTTTTCAGAAAGCCATCTGGCTCTATTCCATAAAACCAATCGTACCCTTTGACTTAGGGATTTCACTGCCAGGATCATTAGTGTTGGAAGAGAAATTTAGAGATCAACTAGTTTAACACCCTCATTGTACCAATAAGGAAACTGAGGCTGAGGACTTGATTTTAAAGTTGATATTACCTAAGCGCTTTAAGGACCCATGATTTCATTGCGGTGGGCACTTCCTCCACAATCATGGACCATAACCTATGTGGCCAAGTTGCTGGTGATGAGAAGCCTCCCAATTTAATCAGACCGGTTCTGAAGTGACGGACATACTTGGGGCCCATACTCAAAACTTTTTGAGGTCAGAATGATCTGTCAGGACCTTCACTGAGAACCCAGGGCCTCCACAACGCAGTCATGACACATCAGAGGAAGACTTAAATGGAGGAAGGTTGTAATTCAAATGGGAAAGAAAAGGCCATTCTGTACAAAATGGAACTGCTTAATAAAAAAAAATGAAAATGACATTTATGTCCAACAACTGAATTAAAGAAAAATGTCACACTTCAAAGGGATTTCAGAGGGAATCTAGTCCAAATTGTGCCTGAGCAGGAATCTATGGTCTCCTTCAGCGCTGGTTGTTTAGCCTTTGCTTGAATACTCTGAGTTTTGGGGAGCTCATCACTTCATGAGTCAGTGCTAGAGAGATATGAAGATTTCTCTTCCGTTATAAGGTAATTATTATCTATTCCTACCTAATTTCTAGCCATTGCCTCAAGGTAGATTGTGATGTGATGGAATAGATTGGGGTATGTCAAGGTCATGGAATGTTTTTGGGCAATGAAAAATGTCAGATATGAAGAATATAAACATATGTAGAAAGGAGGAAGGAAGCAAAGGAGTGGGGAGAGAATAAACATTCATTAAGCTCCTACAATGTTGCCGGCACTGTGCTAAGCATTTTACAAATATTATCTCTTTTAATCCTCACAATAACCCTGTGAAATAGATGCTATTATTCCCATTTTAGTGTTGAGGAAACTGAGGTAGACAGAAGCTAAGTGACCTCCAGAAGGTCATTTGTAAGTGGTTACTTATAAGGTCACAAATTGTGTCTGAGGCTGGATTTAAACTCCAAGTGATGCAGAGCAAAATAATAAACAGAAAATTTCAGAGTTGCAAGGGATCTCAATGAGTATCTGGCCTAACCCACACCTGTAAATGTTAGAACACAGCTAACACATCAGAATACTCTGTTAATTATTTCCCATTTATCTTTTATATAATTTGTTTTGTGTATATCTCTTCGCATGTTCCCCCCCCATTAGAGTGTAAGCTCCTTGAGGGCAGGAACTGTATTTTGCCTCTTTTTCTATCCTCAGCACTTAGCACAATACCTGCCACATAGTAGGTGCTTCATTAATGTCTACTGATTGACTGAATATGAGTCTATGAAAACTGACATCATCAAAAGCTAATGAGTATAAGAGCAGGAAAGAGACTGGGGGGGGAGTGGCTGCAGGAAATAAATTACTGTGAAGTTTTTGTGCATTTCTACCTTTTACAAAAATGTAAATAATTTGGATTTCATAGTTTTATTTAGCATTTTCTTCCTCACATGTTGTCTCCTGAAGTTATCTTCAGGGATGCCTCATTGGGAAATGGAGGATCTTGAAGTAATGCTAGTAGAACAGAGATTTTGTCATACTGGTTTGCCTGTTGATTGACTGATCAAGAAACATTTATCAAAGACCAACTATGTACCAGACCCTGTGTTAAGGGCCAGGGTAAGCTAGAAAGCCTTTGAGCAGAGTCCTAGGTCTGTTGTCTAAAGGCCAGCTTAGCTCAGTGCAGAGAGACTCACTCCCTGGATGGCCACAGGGGGGATGAATTCTGGTCAGGACAAGTCTTGGAGACCATGTGCTAAGATGCTGTGACCTTCATCTTTCGAAGGAACAACCAAATCAATGAGATGGGAGACCCTTGAACTACAAGTATTGTAATTTCTCTTTTCTGTAGTTGGTATGAAGTTTATGGTAATCCGGAAAAAGAAGGATGACTCGAAGGGGAAGAAGGAAAAGGAAAAAGGATATCTATTCTCTGGTGCCCCCAAAGCCTCTCCTGCGCCCTCTCCTGGGTCGTTGGAAAACTCAGTGAGAAGAAGACTAGCCTCCTTTTCCCATCCCTCTGCTTGAGCCTAGAAGTGAGCCCTCACACCTGATTATGTGTGTGGGATAGAGAGGGACAGGGTGGTCTCTTTAGATGTCATCTACCTAACCATCTGGGCAGCTGAGTTCCCCAAACACCAGGACATGTACTATGGTAATGCCCCTTCCCCTTCCCCACCTCCCTCAGCCCTTGGTAGGAGGAGGGTGGTTTATGGAAAATTTTCCCCAACCTCTCCATCTTCCCCACCCCAGTCCTTCTGATCCAACTTACTCCAGTGGTCCTGGATAATCAACTTGGCAACTTGGAAAGCAAGTATACTGCCCTCAGGGACAGTCACTGTCTTC